GATAGGTGAATAAAAATGCCAAATCCAGCCTAAAGATCTGGCTGACTGTGCCACCACCACCACCACCACCACCACCAATAATAATGTGTATCACATGTTTCTGCATTGTTGGATACTAGTATAGTTTATTAATATACATTGGTACTGAATAATTTCTCTTGGAACAATTTCTGGTTTTCAGTGATTTTATTTTTGCCCAGCATCCATTCATCCATCATTTTTTATATTATACAATTTTGAAGATTTTTTTTTTCCAGCTTGGTATGACTTATTGAGTAGTTATGTTTTGATACAGTCCTCAAGGTTTTAGGTTCAAAAAGAAAAACTATTTTGGAGGATCTTGCAGACTAAAGAAGGAAAACAGTTGTGCAGAAGTTGCAGGAATGTTAAGTACATGTTGTTGGAACAGTTGCCATCCTTCTAAAGTGTGCTTTAAATTTGCCTTCCCTTTGTCTGGCTTTTCCCTTTAAATCATGCTGAGGCCTGGCCTGCTTACCTGGTTTTCAGGTAAAGTTTTGATGAGTTGTTTCCTGGTTTCTTAGACAAAGAAATGCTGTTCTCTGTTTATCAGGTAGGGCTTATATTGTGTTTAACTAAAATATTCAGACTGTCTCCCAAGAGAGGGATAAAGCGGAGCCTGAATTGATCCTGTGCCAGATCAATTTAGCCTCTAGTGGCTGCATTGCATTCATAGCAGACAGATGCTTATTTTATTGTTGAAATGTGAATCTTAAGAAGGGCAAAAAGCAGATTTGCAGTAGCTTCATAATCCGTAGCTTCATTGAAAATATATTTAAAGTAGGAAGATAACATCTGGCTTTTTTTTAATGGAAATTTTGGGGTTTTTTTTAAATGAGGATTAGGAACAATGATAAAAATGATTCATCCACAAAATGCATCCATTAACATTTGGCCTATTGGAGAATTTGAGTATTGAGGCTCACTTGCCCTAGTACTGTTACAGTTAGCATTAGCATTTGTTTAGCTAATATATACAATTCAGTGACAAAATCTATGCCCAGAAGGTTTACCTGTTCATTAAAGTGCACTGTCCTTATGTGCATATAAACTCTGCATTAGTTTTTACCTGTTTGTTGTATATATGGTTGCCTCTGTTATACTTTATCTTATATCTGCCTCGTTGTGCACAATTATGTGGAAAAATGGGATATGCAGTTCGAAGAATAGTAAGACCCTAGACATGTGGCAGGATACTGCACACCCAAAGTGACCATGCAAGTTTGGATCTGAACAGGTTACAGGCCAGTCTGGTGAATGCATGCAGTTTGGGTAGGGAGATAAGAACTGACACTATGCATCTCTCTCTATATGTATGCGCGCGCACGTGCGTTCGTTCATTATGTCTGAGTTCTTTTAAGTGCTTTGAATAATTGAAAAAGGATTGGTGACTACTTCATAAGCAAGAGGGGAGGAAAATGTTATCACTTATTTTGCTTTCCCAGGTGTTTAGACCAGATACAGATGTGAGATGAAGTTCTCCTTACACTTGGCCAGATGCAACCACCACACAGCAGCGCAGTTGGGTGTAGTATATAGAATACAGGGATGTCAGAAGCTGTCTTGTACATTGGTCTGCTTACCCCTGCATTGTCTGTACAGACTGGCAGTGGCTCTTCCAAGATTTTTAGACAAAGCACACAGCTTCTGCATGCAAAGCGCATGCTGTATTACCGAGCATGGCCTTTCTCTAAAGGCTTCTTAATATTTAGGAATATACCTTTTTTGCCAGCTTTCAGTCATTGTATATAACCATAGACTGTGCATAATCTTCAAGTGCTAGTATTTCTAATACTGTTCAGTGCCAAAGCAGTGAAATCATTTTAATTTTAGTAAGATATGCAGACTGGCGTTTGGAATGTCAAGGTACAATAAACAAAGCGGTTTTATTAGACTCTCCTCATGACCACAGTTTTATTTTCAGCATGGTGGGCTGCAACTGCAGTTATCTGCCCTGGACACTTCCACTGTAGCATCTAATTTGGCTTTCTGCCTGGCAGATCCAGTCTCTTGGCAAGTGTGTTGTGGTGGAGATTAGTGGCTTATAATGCCTGCCTGCTCTCAGCTGAGACTGTTATTAGTAGCCAAACTGGCACCTGCAAAAGTGCAAGCTTTGAATTATGGGTGATAATTTCCCCCCTTCTTTCCACTTGATCCACCAGATGACTGAGACATAAACAATGTACACTCCATTCATCTGAATAGAATAAATGCCCTAGCCATAATGTCTATCCTTTGTGCTAAATATAAAATGACATTCAGTGATGCAGGGGTAAATTTTGAAGTGTAGGTGTTTATGAGTGTTTGTATGTGAATGCCTGTGTGTGAGTCCACTGAAGAGGATCAGTACTTAGCAGAGTACCCTGTTGATTAGGATCAGCATGATTGCAACCCTGTGCATAGTCGCCTGGAAGTTGTTGGCTCTGGCTTTTTAGGTTCAGTTTGTAAAATATGGTGAGCTTCAACAAAAGATCTTCATCAACCTGAAATGCAACTTTCAACTTTTAATTAGAAATATAAGCCATACTGCAAAGAAGTTTTGCCTTTTAAACTGCTGGTATACAGGAGGACCCCTATCAAGGAAAAAGCAAGCCATAATCAGCTTCTGCTTGATAATGCCCTATATTTGCTGATTTCCTTTAATATATTGTGATATTGCTAAATATTGCTACATCACAAACAATAAAATTTGAAGGCTGCATTATCACGTAATTCATTTATTAGATCAAGGATGACATTTGGTGTTTTTCCAGTTATCACCACCACTTTGAAGAAAGTCCTAAAGCTGCACTTCCTGTATTATCTCTCTAGCATGCGACTGCCCAGGTTGATTGAAGCTGCAGTAACAGGAGATTGACCCAGAACAACTCAGTTGTCCTAGGTGTGGTATAACATGAGTTTCTCCTTTGATGATTCTTCATTTCTACCATTCTCTTAATGGATTCAGATCATACTTCGGATGTCTTGAAGAAGCAGCTGGATTTCCCAATATGTACAAAACGGGGGAAATACAAGTTGACAGCATTCTGCTTTTCATAGGGAATATGCAGCTTTGAGTTGGTGAGTGCTGTACAATGACATAGTTCTGAAGAGCAACTCACAAAGAAAATAGAGCTCCCTTCCAACAATAGCTTTTATTCCATGCCAACTTTCTATGGATGCTGTTGCATCCCTTCCAAGAGGCCCACTAGAGTACAAACTCTCCTGTTGTGGAGGCAGAACTATTCAGCTGTATAATCACTTTTGAGAATGGTTTCAGGGCAGGGTTCCCAGCTGTTCCCAGC